CTGCCACATCTCCATCATCTCCACCCCTGTCCTGTTAACACCCTCATCGCCATCATCTACGCTAGCACCATCACATCGAGCCATCATTTCCATCAACACCGCCACCCCATCAGCTTATGAATCATCGCCATCATCACACTCTTCACCACAGAGGCCCTTAGCACCCCATAATCGCACCATCACTAATTCATTCCAATCACACCACCATCAGCACAGTGGTCACCACCATCGCCTTTGTGTGCCATCATCAGCATCGCTGCCACTGTCTGTCACCACCTCTCCCACTACGGGCATCGCTGACAATCACCATTTTCTTCTCCCATCACCATCACCAGAAGAAGTGTCCATCTCCATCACCACTGTCATCAAAGCCACCACCGCCCTGACCATCGCCCTCGCCAGTCTCTCCTTTTGAGCTTCATCCTGCTTATAAAGCCAGAAGCCTTGGCTATGCCTCACTCACCTGTATTCCTCTGTGGTGCTGAGTTTGTTCTCCCTGCTTTAGAAGAAGACTGGGGCTCAAAGACATAGACCAACACACATGGAGCACAAGACAAAGGTTTTGATTCAGGCTTTCTGAGGGCTGGGGTCAGGCATCCCATGTTAGTCAGCTTTCTGTCCCTCTAACAAAATACCTGAGATGAATTTCTTCCTAAAGAGAAAAAGAAGTATCTAACCAACAGTCCGGGGAGTCCAAATCTAGCTGTTTGGCTCTGCACACATCTTCTCTCTGGGGATCCAGAAGCTGTCAGACACCAGCCACAGTGGGTAGTGACCAAATGACCAGGCATGGCTGACAGCCCCTGGAGTCAAGGTGACTGGGCTTGAATGCCACCTCCATCGGGACTATTTCCTCTAACTTCTATTTTCTCCTCTGTAAAGTAAAGTCCTTAAATATGGATATATCTGACCATAAGGGCTTAAGCCTGTCATCCTAGCATGTGGAAGACTGCGGCAGGAGAATAACCACCAGTTCCAGGCTCCCTGGCGGCCCTTCTGGATACAGTATCCTAGCTTCCCCCTGCAGACTCTCTGCTCCAGGCTGGGATCTAGAAGTGAGTGCTGGGAAGAAACTGACTCTTCAAGGGTCTTCCTGGACCCTACTGGCTGGGCCAGGCAATCACCTGCAGCAGTTCCCCAAGTTTACAAAGTTTCTCTCCTGAGGCTGCAGCCAAAGGATGAAGACAGCGACTCTTGTCACATCAGGCTGGCACTGTTGTGTGGTTAGGGATTTCCTCCTGGACCCCAAGCTTGAACCTACTTCTCCAGCTCTTCCCCTCAATAACTCAAGTGTATTAGCCATGTCCTAATTAGTCTGTATCCACATTCCACTTGTCACCACTACTCAGTGAAGAGTCAGCAGGACCTTTAGGCCTCCAGACACCAGGTCACCTTGCACCAACCAACATTGGCTTGTGAATACACAACTCAAGGTCTGGAACAGGGAGAATGTCTGTTGCTGGATCCTTGTGTAGGGTCTAAATCCCTTCTCCTGGTCCCCTAGCCACAGGGGCTAACTTGAGACCCTGATGTCTTAGAGAGGTGTCAACACATACAGAAACACAAAGTCTCTCTCTCCCCCTCTACCCTCCTCTCTCTCCCTCGCTCCCCACCCCCGACCCCCACCCTCTTCATCTCTGGTTTATCTCCAGGGCATTTGATGGGCTGCATTGACACCTAGAGACACCAGGGGGCGATATATAACTTCATTTTAGAGAGAGGAGTAAAGGCTCATCCTCCCTATTTTGTGTAAAATGCAACAGCTCATAGGTGAGAAAACAAGCACAGGGAGGTCCCCAGAGGGGCCAATGCCCAAAGTCACATGATAGAAAACAGCGCCTGGGCTAAAGCCATCTCGCATCAGAAGGCTGTATGATGCAGGAGGAAGGCCATCCATAGATTCCCACAGAAACTCATGTCCCCATAGGAACCTGGCAAGTGACAGAAGTGAGACAAGGAAATGGGGTGCATCCGGGGGTGGTGATCTGTGGCCACCTGAAGGGTGTATGTTGCAACTGGAGTGAGCAGCTGCAGCCCAGGTCTACCGGGGGCATCTCAGCTCTGCCCAGCTGCAGCCCAGGTCTACCAGGGGCAGCCCAGGTCTACCAAGGGCAGCCCAGGTCTACCAGGGGCATCTCAGGTCTGCCCAGTTGCAGCCCAGGTCTACCAGGGGCAGCTCAGGTCTGCCCAGCAGTTGCTGAATTCCAATTCGCATCAAGATAACCCCCGCTTTTCCCCCTCACCATAAGATATACAATTAAATATTAATGTGAAAATTGCCAGGTTTTGGTTTGTTTGTTTGTTTGGTTGGTTGGTTGTTGGTTTTTGGTTTTTTGAAACAGGTTTTCTCTGTATAGCTCTGGCTGTCCTGGAACTAACTCTGTAGACCAGGATGGCCTCAAACTCTCAGTGCTGGGATTAAAGGCATGCACCATCACCACTTGGCAATTTCTCAGTTTTTAAATGTTGGCAACGAACTCAAAATTTTTCCCACTCAAGTCTCAGGAAGAGAGTGTCTATACTGCCCTACCACAGACTTTTGGGGCTACTAGAGGTTTTTTGTTGTTGTTTTGTTTTTTTTTGTTTTTTGTTTGTTTGTTTTTTTGACTGGCCTGAAACTTCCTATGTAGACCAGGCTAACCTGCCTCCTCAGGAGTGCTAGGATATGCCACCACCAACCCTGACTGGAGAGTGTTTTGTTTGACTTGGGGTTTGACATAGGGAAGGCTCTCCCACTGGTATGATGCACTACACCCCTGTCAGTGTGAGAACTGTTCTTCCTGCTTCTCCTTCTCCAGTACCTTCTCCTCCACCTCTGGGAGGATGGTAATCTGTACATGAAATTGTTTAGGGGAGTTTTGTGCAGCTGTTTCCTTTGAACTGAAACACTCCTTCCCAAGCAGAGGAAGCAGGCTCAGAAGATTTGGAAAGCTAAGGAAGTATCCAGGCTTCTGGTCCTCAGCAATGTACAGGATTCTCAAGGCCTCTCCCCATGGTTAAAAGTAACCTTGCTGGGGAGAGGAGACTCTTCAGTGGAGCCATCTGCATGTTGGGAGCTCCAGGGATGCAGCCTTCCTGAGATGTCACCCTGGCTGGGAAGGGCTTTTGGGTGATGCAGGAGCTGCCTGAGAGTCAGTCACTATGCTCCCTGGAATAACTCCAAGAATCCACCAGTTCACCCATCAAGAGTGCTGGATCCGCTTCTTTGGTCTGGCATTGTGGATGCCTGAACTGAGGAGCAGATGGTTCATGTCTCCTCACCAAAATCCACACAGCACAGGTCTCCTCTCTGTTGGCTGTGCTACCCAGCGACCCTCAAAGGGAGCTTGAAGGCTGTGGGCAATGGTCTCCAGCATGGTCTACTACAGAAAGTGTCAGGGCTGCTTTGTCCTTACTATATAAATGCTGGATAATTGAAGTCACTGTTTCAAAAACATCATGAAATTCACTTTGGTGCATGGTTCACAGTAGGCAAAATAACCAGTAAAACACCACAGGGACCTCAGTTACAAATAAATTCTCAGGGAGCTGCAGAGATGGCTCATGGTTTTAAAGCTTGTGCTGCTCTTGCAGAAGACCTGGGTTCAGTTCCCACCACCTACTTTAATGGATCACAACAGTCTAAAATGTTATTTCAAGGGATCAGACATCCTCTTCCAGCCTCCAGGGGTGCTCACACATTTATGGTATTCACACATATGTGTACACACACACACACACACACACACACACACACACA